AACACCCATGTTGTCATGCACTTGCAGCCGTGTACTACTGCAGTTATTTATTTCAGACCACAAACTTCAGTTTGTTGTGTCAGACTTGTGCGGGGCTATCTCCAGGGCCATCTTTTTAATGTGTGCTGTATTTCAGAAGCGGTAAGGACTGGTCCTCCACAGGGACAACCCCTACCTCCAGACTATGGTCCACCACCCTATGAGGCCACACAGCCAGGCTTCCTACCACCACATGTCCCTGGGGAAGGGCCCATGCCAATGCCCATGCCTATGCCTCCACCACCACAAGGTGCGACAGACTATCTGCATATATAGATAAGGAAATGAAGCATCATACTCCCACAATATGTGACTGTCTTCTAAAGCTGTCAGGGCATGTTAGTGTTCATGGTTCTGGACCCGACATGGTGTACAGCTATGCACAGTACAAACTGCAATAGCTGTACACCCCCCCCACACACACACTTCAGCTTGTTAACTTTCATTACTTGAAAATAGTTTATCTGGCTTCAGTTTAGTTTGGTAGAAACCAGAAAATTGAATTAATAATGTGGAAATGTAAAAGAGCTAAAAAGAGTATTTTATTGCTCACTGGCTTGTAAATCTATTTTTCCTTTTGGCTCACGTCACTGTTGAGGCTATGGTTCATCTTCTTAAATATCATGACTGCTGTTCTTGTGCTCACCCACTCTCATTGGTTTGTCTAAATGCAGGTGGCCACTACCCACCACCACCTGGTCACTTTCCTCAACCGATGCCAGGACAGATGGGCCCGGGTCCTGGTCACTTTGTCCACATGGGAGGTCACACAGCGACCGTCCTGGCTCCTCCAGGAGCAGCCACCACTGTGACCGTTCTGCAGGGTGAAATGTTTCAGACTTCACCAGTGCAGACTGTGTGTCCGCACTGTCAGCAGGCTATCGTCACCCGCATCTCCCACGACATCGGCCTCATGAACACACTCTTCTGCCTCTTCTGCTTCTTTGTAGGGTAAGTAGGTCCTGGAAAAGACATCTGGTGGTGGGTTTTCGCTGTTTTTACACATGAGTAATGCCTAAAAGTGACAGTAGTTTTAAATACACAGAACTAGAGCTGGATGATAAATTATTTTAAGAAAATCTGCAAGAATCATATATCTGACAATATAAAACGGTCATTATCACAGAATACTGATTGTTGTTATATTGCTACATTTCCATTGAGCTAATTTACTTGATGAGACACTTACTAATTCAAAGTTTCACTTTATTGACACTAGATGCATTAAGTAGCCTAGGTAGTGTTTTGGAAAGTTAAGCAATTATTTTATACGTTTACTCAACACTTCAACAAAACTAAAGTAACTTGACCATTTAACTTGTCAGGAGACTGCAGAATATTGTACATAATATATGTGTGACATATTTTTCAGCACATAATAACGCTGAAAAATATGTCACACAAAGGTCACACATCACCAGCTGCTAGTGTCTCATACTTTGTGGCCTGGTTATGCTCATTGGTGGGAGGTTGTTTTTTTTTTAGTTTTTTTTTATTCAAATAGTAAAAAAAGAAAGTTGTTTCCAGCTTTAGCTAGATTAACTATTACTAGTTTTCAGAATGCTTTGCATTTGTTGGAAGTTGTTGAAGTAGCTCCCTTATTGGATACTAAATTGTCACTGGAGTCTCACATGTGCTCTTGCTCTCAGACACGCCCAGGTTTGTCCATAGTTGAGCATGTTAGGGAATGTGAAAGACTTCACTTTTATTCATATAGCAGCAAATACTCAAATAAAGCACTTTTATTCTAAGGTAAAGATCCCACAACAATAGAGAGAAAAAAACAACAATCAGACAACCCCCCCATGAGCAAACACTTGTCAGCAGTGGGAAGGAAAAACTTCCTTTTAACAGGAAAAAACCTCTGGCATACCCAGACTCAAGGAGGGGCAGCTACCTGCCACGACTGGTTTGAGGTTCTGTCAGGTTTCTTTTAAAAGGGAGCTGTTTTTACTTTCCACATTCACCACAGTGAAGGCTGTCGTTTGATTATTGTAGGGACTTTACCTTCCAATATAAAACACCTTGATACAACAGTTGTTGTAATTTGGCAGTATATAAATAAAATAAAATACCCTATAGCGTCCATTACTTCCCAGCTCACCTTTTAACCCCTTAGCAGTCCAATTAGTCCCCTAAACCATCCAATGTACCGTGGGCGGTACGTCCGACTGCTAACAGGTTAAGGACTTTGGAAGATAAAATATTACCTGAACATTCAGACAGATGGTGTTTCAATAATATGTTCTTGACTTAGTAACTTGTTAATCGTGTCTATCTTAAATTTTGCACAACAGTATACTGTGGCATCTGTGACCTTCAACTTTTGCATAAGTGCTGATTGGAGCAGATAAGCAGATGGTGTATTTTTCATGCTTCTGTGTTGCCATGTTCTTGACCCAGTGACTGTTTTGTGAGAGCTTAATGTACGTAACGTGTACAATCATGAGCAGGTGTTTGATTTTCGCTTCATCTTCTGTCTGTCTGCTCCTCGTTCACAGCTGTGATCTCGGCTGCTGCTTGATTCCCTGTATGATTGATGACCTCAAGGATGTGACACACACCTGCCCTTACTGTAAGGGCTACATTTATACATACAAGCGTATATGCTAACCATGGACAGCTGGATGCCACAGAGACAAGTACATGCACACACATAAACCCACAGTGCCCCCTGCTGGTAGTGACAGGCTTCTCCCCCCCACCCCCCCACCCCTCTACATTTTTGCAAAGTGTTGTGTAGCCCTCTTAAATTGTAAGTGAAGTTTTCTAATTAGTTCACAACATATTTCCTGTATATACCGTTCAGCATACTTCTCTCATGCATTTGAAATGTACAGTTCTCTGACTTAAGCGCAGCAGGTGAAGGCGCTCAGAGGCACACAGGTAAATTTGTGATGTTTCGCATGTGAATAAAAAAAAGGAAAAAAACAAAACAAAAAACTGCCTCTGTTAGAGAACGCTGTGAAAATGTCACTTTATTTGAATTCATCTGTGAATTTTGCTCTATAGCAGGGGTAGGCAACCTTTCTGATGACGAGTGCTATCTAAAATTTCCTCAGAAGTCAGTGTGCCATATGATTGCATTAGCAATAAATTTAATAACTCTCTATATTAACAGTTACACACTATATAGAACCACTTGTTCTATATTTATTCGCAGATGTTAGCAGCTATCAGCGAATAGTTATCAGCTATTTTGAAACAAAAAAAAGACACTTTTTATCCATAACAGCAAATGAACTGTACAACAGAAAATACAAATGCTATTTATGGTCTCCTCACAACAATGATAAGAAAAATAAATAAACTGAGCCAATGTGGCATCTTTGTTAATACAGAGATACACATGTTAAAGTGATCTTTGGTCTCCCACTCAGATACAAAGGTCTCTGAGTGTCCAGCATTCAGACGGCTACCTGAGGACACTCTTCGTGTGGGAGAAAACCGGCTCACACAGATATGTAGAGCCAAATACTGTCAATAAGGCCTCTGCAATGTTCTGAAGACAGTTAAACTTGCCAGGTAGTGATGTCCAGCAGGTGAAAATGCAAGCTCCATGAACACACACAGCTATGGATTCCAGCTGCTTCGATGTCGCATTAACTGGCATTAACTCAGCCAGTTAATGTGAGACAAATCTAGCTGCTCATTAAAGCTTTCTGGTTTGATCAGAAAATAAAACATTGGTCTATAAACCTGAAAGTCCCAAAAATGCATTGTGAATTCTGTCTCGAGTCTACGGATGTATCCGTGTATCTCCGTGGTGCTGATGCTGTGCTGAGCGGAAAGCTGCTGAAGCTTTTGAAGTGTCGGAATGTGGAAAGCTAACAACGTCCCTCTCACCAGTAGGTTTCAGTTAAGTTATTTTTAGCCAATTACAAGTTGAATCTGATAGTTGGGCTTGTTAGCTAAGATACCATCATTAAGAAGCGGCACAACTAATGTGTCTATGTGAGCTAATTTGCGGTGGCACCGCTGGCGCGGCCATTTATTTTTTATGCACTTTCTCAGATTATTTCACTGCGTGTCATGCCCAGGGCTGGACTGGGACAAAAAATCGGCCCGGGCATTTTGACTAGAGACTGGCCCACCAGGTATTATAGCCATAAAACCTTTGAATGAAAACAAATGCTGCTGTGACAGTGATGTGCACTGTCTTGTTGGTATATGTATGATTTCTATACATTTTACATCAGATAAAAACTTTGGTTGTAAGATTCAGATAATTATTTAATAACAGCCAGACATTTTAAATGAGAATAAGAAAGTATTTCTTTGTGCCCCCCTTTCCCTGTTAATGCCCTACCTGCACCCCTGGCAACACTTTGCTAGACCCACCCCTGCACAGTTACCAGCTGTCAGCTACATAGAAAAGGTTCCTGGTGTTATTTGTCTCTCAGAAACAGCTCATAACTTCCCTTCAACTCATTCATGTCACCTAAAAGGTAAACCTGTTTCTCCATCACCTGTTCAGCTCTGATGATTCAGTAAGGACATCTCCTGGTTTCATCTTCATGTTTCCCTCTCACCAGATAACCAAACCGATATCATGACCAGCAGCTTTTTTGAAGCTGTGGCTCCAGCAAACATCAGCTGATACTAGAAATTAATATTAAATAAATTCTAACAACAGCTGATCAAGCTTAAACGTGCTGCTGTTGTTTAACGCGACATCTGCTGGTTTCTTCTTTCTGGCGCAAAGTGGGCGATAAACAAACAAGAGAGAAAAGCCGATCAGCTGATCATTGATCAGCTTCATGATTGAAGTAGCAATGGGAGAGGAAGGGGGAGAGAATGAGAGAAGAAGAGGCAGCCGTGCAGCGTAACGACAGAATAAATCCAGCTTTGTGTCTTTTTCATTGTAGCTGAAGTCCGGGACAAACTGTGTTCCTTCTCAGCTCAATACGAAGGGTTAACTGATGGCACGACCAGCTATGGTCGTGCCATCAGTTAACCCTTCCTAGGGTTGCCGACCCCTGCTCTATAGCAAGTGTATTCCGACACGGGTTAATTTTTAACTTTGATGTCAGATATTTAATTCATTATTTTAATATTTAGAACTGAACTTTTATTTTCCTTTGTCTGATTATTTTGTTCCAGCAGGTCTAGTGTTTTCTTTTAATCATCGATCCCTTTTGAATGTGAGCAAAATGAACCATTTATAATATTTAGCTACTAAATCTACTTGTTGGGAAAGTCCCAAGATTTATGTTAACCTGCTATATTGTTATTAATTTGGGCTGTAGTCACAAAATGTCCTGTGACTTACTGTTGAGCTAATGCTCATCAGTGCCCTCTGTCTGTAAAGGTGTTTTATTTTGATGATTGAGTCATTATTTGCACTTTAAGTTAAAGTTCACCTTTGCCCCTCAGATGCATCATTTGTCTAGGGGGGAAAAAAAGTGCGACCACCTATGCATCATTTGGTTTTTACTTTGGTTTGCTGTTAGCTGAGTGAATCCCACCATGGTTGCACCTTTTCAGAATTTAGTAGATGGAAGTAGAGCTGACAGACTTAGGGCTCGACTGTTACTGATGGACGAACACTTCACAACATCTCAGTAGTGATTTGTCCTGTCGCTGGCCAAATGCTGAGTCTGGGTCGTTTAAGATGATTTTCAAAATAGTTATTTCAAAACAAACAGAAAATTGTTACTAGTGTGTTATATTTGTTCTGTTAAGTGTTTTGTTATAACGTTAATTTATTTTGAAAAGTCATTCCAAGTCACTCTCACTGATGAGAGGTGCTAACATGTATAATTTAACGTACAGCACTATCATTACAGTGGTGGGACCATCTTCCCACAGAGTCCCTGACTTAGCGTTAGCCTTTCCCGATGACTTGCATTGCTCAGAGGCATGTTAAAAAACAATTACAGATACTAAATAGTGAGCTCTTTGCTAGGAAAAAGCTTTAAATAACAAATTAACTCCAACATTGCGATCCCACTGAATTTAACACCAACAGATACTGTTCCACCATCAGCATGCTGGATGTCTCATGCACCAAGTGCAGAGTTTGTCTGCACAAGTCACACATCGAAACAAGTCATTCTCACTGGCAAGTTCCTGACTCTATGTGCATTTGTTTTTGTTTTCCGTGAGGCTAACGGAGCTCTGTAAGAAAATCAATATGAAATGAAGGATTGCATTGAAATATTAATACGGTGTAACGCACACCATTGTTGTGGATTTTGGTGGTCTGCATTGCTCTAAATGTCTGTGAAATGTATAACTATGTAAGTCAAAGATTTGTTTGACTGTTGTATACAGCTACTATTTTATCAATAAAAGTCATGAAGGAAACTCAATTTTGAAATTGTGAAAGTGGATATTTTATTTAAATATTAAATGTAAAGCAAAAAAATAAATGTTTCTCAGCTGTGCTTGTGAATGAAGCTGAAAAACACAGCTATAGGTGAAAAGGTGTCAATCTCTCCATCGATGTCCGCACTGAGCGTTGCAGCATTTGTAGAACGTGGTCATCGGTTCGTCTGCTGATCTGGTCTGAATCTGCATGAAGTATGCTCGAGGATGCTCGCACTTCGGGCACGTTTCTGTAAATGGACAAGTGCATCATGTCAGTGTGGAATCACTAATGCTGTTGGGATTGGCTCATTTAATTTAATTCCATTCAACCATGCAGTATATAGAAAAATGCACGGAGTAGCATCACTGACACAGGATGTTCCTAATTTTGACAAAGATGCACTTATAAGAAAGTTAAAGCACCCATCCTGCCAGGTTTCTCAAACTAGCACCTGGAGGCCAAAGTAATGTCATCCAGAGTGCAAATACAATAACTTCAGTTTTTCTTAAGTAGAAAAATTACACATTATCGAGGTCTCTTATTAGCCTGTAGTATGTAATTTGTGTTAAATAAATATGAAATCTGGTCTTTATTTAGAAAGAATGCTCTTTAGTAACCAATTGAAGGAACTTGACTCGTAATGGACTTTAATTCTTTCAATTTCTTGCCCGTGTTGCCATTCACAGGAAAACAACAACCTGCAGAAAGGTTGTTGTTTACGTCCTACCCTGAAGGGGGTGCAATCCGGCAATGTAATGATGCAAAGACAAACTTTCTCTCACACTTAACAACCCCACATTAATTTTAGCTCTTCCATCCCTGGTATCCATTATAATAGACTAAACCTTCCTAAATTAACAAAGACAGCAGCGGTCAAGAAGTATAAAAGCCACCTCACTAATGATTAAAACAAACAAGCCAACACAAAATGAAATGTACGAAAATGCCATATAAATTACCATCCTCTGAAAAGACAAACACAAACATAGACAGACACACACTGTAATTAAAAGTTTGTATAAAATGCATTTTTACTCAGTGGAGGTCTCTAGCATATGCTGGCTCCCTAAAATGTGACTCAGTCATCATATCATTGACAAACTCCACCTGGTTATCAGGAATTAGAAAAATATATCTAGTTCCAGAGAATATATGGAGAAGACTTTCACGTTGATGTCATCAAGGGTGGACCAAAAAAAAATTCTATTCTTTATAATATAAAGTGTAGGTCTCCAAGCTGGATAGTTAAAAAGCTACAGTTGTCTTTCTTAGAGCTTTAATCTATCTGTAGAGTTATGTTTTTATTGGGCTGGGATATTGCAACAGCCCAATTTGTTTTTCAGGCATTCTGTTGTCATTTGGTGGTGTGCTTGTGGTCATTGTGCTGTTGAATGATGCAATTTTAACCATCTGTCAGATAGACAGCCTCACATTTAACTCTAGAATATTTATATACAGAGGAGTTTCTGTTTGACACAGTGACAACATTGTGCCCAAACGTTAAGGTAGCAGCAGCTGGCAGGGACTCACCCTCTTAATTAAGAATGTACTTTGTTTTTCACAGTATTGCACATGAAAACTCTGTTTTTCACATGACTGTTAACTTGAGCTACACATTTGACAGTCCATATTGACAGTGTTAATAGATATTTACCCTAAAATAACGAAAAACTGAAGGACCTAGCTCAAGTGGTTTTCTAAATAATTACATTTTTAAATGGCACAACAAAATACATCCCTACTGTCATCCATGGGAATACTTGGATGCTAACAACAGTTCAGAAGTGCATATTTCCCCTCAGTGTTTTAAAGGAAAATCTGTCCATGGTCAGGTGGGAAGTTTTTGTTTCAATCTGATAAATTGACTTGATCCAAACACACGCTTGCTCACACACATCACGGGTAAGTGGAAGAAGATGGATGGCTGGCTGGATAACTTTGTTTTAAAAAGTGCTTCTTTTAAAGAGTTTCATTTTGACATGAAAGTGTGTGTTTAGAGTTTTGACCCAACAATACTTGTTGTCAGCAATCACATTGAGCTAATAAGCCTGTATCCAGTTGTCAAAAACTGCATTACAAACCACTCAAAGGCACTGCAGACATTGGTGTTTTGAGCAGGAATGCGGGACGATAGACACAACTTAACTCTCAAGCTAATTAAAAAAAACAACAACAATATTTCTTCAACCAGTTAATTTTGCGATTATAAACAGATACATAGACCACACCATAAACTATTTTGATGACACTCACCAGGTGTTGAGTCCACGTTTTCCCACGCAGCAGCTCCACCCAGAACATCATCCACCTCCTTTAACTTCGGATACTTCCTGTTATTTACCTACAGGGGTTTAAACAGATAAGGTGAGGCTCTCAGAAGCCACGCTAACCTTAATGTAAGATGTGATACATTATATGTGAAATATTTCGTCGTTACTCACCTTTCGTGTGATGTTATGTACGTAGGGACAGGTGTTACACGCGAATCTCATGCACTTCTGCCCTTCCTCGACGATTAACACGTTCCCGCAGGTTGGACAGAAAAGAAGCATGTTAGCACGTACTTAAAAAACAAAACCCTGTTAGATTTTGAACTATTAAATAACACTAGCACTCTGTGAACTCAGCTGTAAACACTGCTGCGTGTGGAGCACCGGAAGAGAAGGAGAGAAAATGAGATGCACCCATATTGAGAGTTCGGTGAGAAACAAAGGCTTATTAAGCGGAACCATGTTTTCTAAGCCCCATTTCCTCGCCCGGTTATTATTGGTGACGGACGCACTTACTTCCACTGGCTTCCAGTTAAATTAGTTTCCATTAAAAAGTATATTTTCCCCAAAGTTATAAATTAAGTCGACAAACTGCCTGTTAAACTGCCTGTTAAGCTGCTTGTCTGTTGAGTAAATTTAGCAGCTGGCGGTGATGGAGGAGGAGCAGAGAGCGGGTACCGCTGCTGCTGGAGCTGCAGAAGGAGGACAATCAGTGAAGGATGAAGAAGAGGTAAAAGAGGAAGATGTGACACATACAGCAACTCAAGGCGAAGAGGAGGAAGATGAGGACGCTCTTCCTCATTCAGAAATCTTGGATATTTTCGAGGAAGGACTTGCTCGACTCGTGCAGGATCCTTTGCTCTGTGACCTGCCGATTCAGGTGCTCCGTACACTACATGAACATGCGCATGTGCATCGCATACATACAGACATACAGACATACAGAGATTTGCATTTATGGTCAAAAGAGACATCACGTCATATAATGACTTATTACAAAGCCATTGGTATACACTCACCGGCCACTCCTAGTATCCTGATCCATCATAAAGGTGCTATGTTGGACTGAGATCTGGTGCCTGTCACAGACACCAGACTGAGATCTGGTGTCTGTGAATTCATTGTTGTGTTAAAGAAACCAACTTGAGATGTTTTGAGCTTTGTAACATGCTGTTATCTTGCTGGAAGCAGCCTTCAGATGATGGCTACACGTGGTCATAAAGAGTTGGACATTGTCAGCAATAGTAGGGGGTATATATAGGCTGTTGGGTTTAATCGACTCTCGGCTGGTACTAAACATCCCAAAGTGTGCAAAGAAAATATCCCCACATTGCAACAGAAATCAAGACACATCAGACCAGGCAACATTTTCCCAATCTACTATTATTCAGTTTTAGTGAGTGTGTGAATTTTAGCCTTCCTGGTTTTAGGTGACAGGAGTGTCGCCCCCCCAGTGTGGTCTTCTGCTGTTGTAGGATGCCTGCTTCAGAGTTCGATGTGTTGCATGTTCAAAGATGCTCTTCTGATACCTTGTTTATAACAAACGGTTGTTGGAGATACTGAAGCATTCTGGCTAGGGCTGCTCAATTAATCGAATTTTAATCACGATTACGATCTGGGCTTTCAACGATCATTAAAAACGACTGAGCCGATTATTAGCCCCTCCCTCATTTATCCGCGACACCTTAAAGGCCGGTCCGTGAAAATATTGTCGGGCATAAACCGGTCCGTGGCGCAAAAAAGGTTGGAGACCGCTGATTAAGAGGACCCGAGGGAAGCTCGGAAAGCTAAGCAGAAGTTATTTGGAGAGTGACTGCCGTTGGTTGAAAAGAGAGTTTAAAAAAAAAAAACTTCAGTGGTGTTGCACACTATTTTATATTATTTTTTAAAGTCATTGTTAACCCTTTAAAGCCGGTCAGAGCAGCACGCTCCGTTTTGCGTAACTATTTTTAAATCCCTGTAGAACCTGAACCGTGTAAGCTAGCGCAATAATTTGTTTTGCATATGAAACCGGAGGAGTTGTACTTACATCTGATGCCATCAGCTTGTCCTCGGTCACGGTTTCGTTCCACATATAGCTTTGCAAAAATTGCATAAAAAGCGCTTGCAGGAACAAAAACATAATATTCCAGAAACACGCTTTGCCGTTCCTATCAGCTGTTCGTAACACTTCCCACAGTGAAATGATGCACCTGCTGTTTTCTTTGCAAATTTGCATCATAGGATTGTTTTTTGTTTTTCCTGCAGTATATAAAAATTGCTGTATCTCCAAAATAAAACTATGAAGACACTCAAAATAAATTTCCTGTTGTTGTAAACTATTTTTTGGAACTTTATTGTATTTAAAGTTTTGAGGGATAAACCTCTTAAATTTCTCCAAGTAGAAATATATGTAAACAAAACAAAAGCAATTTTCAATTTTTTTTGTAGTTTATTGCACTTTTTTGCAATTTATGTAATTACTATGGACTTAATGCATACATATTATTAAAATATGGGCTATAACAGTTGTATTGATGTATAGCAACTTGAAATGCTCCCACAAATGGCACTACAACATGTAAAAAAATAATATAAGCTCTGGTGGACTTGGTTCTATAGTAGGTCTTAAAGGGTTAAATAAATATCGTCAAATAATCGTGATCTCAATTTCAGTGAAAATAATCGTGATTATCATTTTTGCCATAATCGAGCAGCCCTAATTCTGGCTATTCTTATCTGACCTCTGGCTTCATCAAATCACTGGTTCTCACGTAGAGAACTGACGCTCGCTGGATATTTTCTCTTTTTCTCTGTAAACACTGGAGATAGTTGTATGGTAAAATCCAAGTAGATCAGCACTTTCTGAAATACTCAAACCAGCCAACATGCTGCTGTAAAAGTAACTTTTCTTCATCCTTTTGATTCTTGGTTTGATCTTCAGCGTGACATCGGGACGATGCCTAATTGCTACCGTGGCTGTTTAAGTATCTGTAGAAGTTGAAAAGGCTTGTCTTCCAAATTTTCCAGTGAGTGTATAAAGACGCTAGTGTCTGGTTTTGTCTGATTGGTGTTTCAATCTTAAACACGCATGCTTAACTAGCAAAAATGCCGTAACAAACTGTTGTTCAACACTGTAGGTTCAGGTTCAGGTTTATTCATTTATATAGCACATTTACAAACAACAGGGTTGATCAAAGTGCTTAACAATCGGCAAAAAAACAGCAAGAGATTAATGTGAAATGAATGTGAAATATTTATTTTGGTCAACAACAACAACAACAACAGATTATCATTTACACAAAGTACTCAATCAAACAGTAACCCAAAAAGGAATAGGCTGAAGCCTTGTGGCTTATAATTATCCTATCCTTTACCCCCATAGGAATAATCATATCCTTAACCTAGAAAATAAATAGTGTTGATAAATAAGTTATATAACAGTTAGAAAAGAAATCAATGATAAATCAAGAAATTAAATCCTCAAACCAAATTTCTATAACCTTGTATGATACAAATGTTTAAATTCTTCCTGAAAAATGACAAAGAAAAACACATCTTCAGTTCATCATTAGGTCCATTCTATAATTTCACTCCCATAACTGACACACATATATACTTAACACTGGTTCTCACTTTAGGCATTTCAAACACATAAGACCACCTCAAATCATATTTTCCATCTCTTAGTTTAAACATACTTAAAATACAAATTGGAACATTCTTTTTCATCACTTGATATATCATTTCTAAAGTTTTGGAATATATAATGTCCATGAATTTTAACATAGATGATCCTACAAAAAACTGGTTGGTGGACTCCCTATATCCAACTTTATTTATTATTCTAATAGCTCTTTTTTGCAATTTAAAAATTGAATCCAAATATGTTTTGTATGTGTTCCCCCAAATTTCCGCACAATAGGTCATAAAAGGCAAACAAAGGGAAGTATACAATAAATAAAGGCAGTTCTTATTCAAAGAATCTCTTGTTTTATAAAGAATAGAAATAGACTTGGATAATTTCCATTTCACATGTTCTATGTGGGGCTTCCAACAAAGTTTATCATCAATAATTACTCCTAAAAATTTTGTCTCATATACTCTTTCAATTTCAACATTATTTAAATTCAATTTTACTTTAATATTACTTTTGCCTCCTCCAAATAACATAAATTTTGTTTTACTTTCATTCAATGATAGTTTAAATACAAACCATCTATTTAACTTCATGAGTTCTTTTCCACTGTTTGCAGTCATTTCTTTATGTCCTTTCCAGAACAAAATAAGTTTGTGTCATCAGCAAATATCACATATTTTAAAGTATCACTGGCTGTACAAATATCATTTATATAAAGTAAAAATAACTTAGGTCCCAAAACAGATCCTTGCGGAACTCCACAAGTTACTTTTCTAAGCTTAGATTTCATGTTATTAATACTCACATATTGGAACCTATTGTTCAAGTAACTATTTAACCAAAATTGTATAACACCTCTTAAACCATACCTTTCACGCTTCTGTAAAAGTAAAGAATGATCTATTGTATCGAGGGCTTTACGTAAATTAAGAGTTAACAAACAAACAAACACACCAACAAACATCAAGGGTGAAAGACATAAAACAGGCCCGATGATAGTTAAAACTAATTTGATCCAAAAGCCAAAGTAAAAAAATGAGTTTTAAGACTTGATTTAAAAGAATGTATAGATTCAGAAGTACGAATAGAAGTGCGGAGACTATTCCAGAGTCTAGGTGTTGCAATTGCAAAGGCCCGATCACCTCTGGACTTCAGCTGGGATCTAGATTGTTCTATGAGCATCTGGCAAGATGATCTTAGTGCCCTCCTGGGGTTATACAAGCGGAGGAGTTCAGTCAGGCAACTGGGTGCCAAATTGTTTAAAATTAGAATTATAAAATATACGGTTTTTGACAGGCAGCCAGTGCAAATTAGCTAGAACTGGGGTGATATGACCATACTTTCTAGTACCTGTTAGAAAGCGTGCAGCAGCATTGTGAACTAAAGAAAAAAGGTAGAGAGAAGAGTGATGGAGGCCCAGGTATAGAGAGTTACAATAGTCCAATCTAGAGGTGATAAATGCATGAATACGTTTTTCAAGTACTTTTAAAGGAATATAGGGCTTCGCCTTTGATATTAAACACAACTGATAAAAGCTAGTTTTTACCACTGAGGACACTTGCTTCTCCAATTTAAGAGAGCTATCCAAAAACACTCCAAGGTTTCTTACCGTGCAAGATAGATGGCTGGCAAGAGGACCAAGGGTGTCTGTTAACTGACCCAGAGGGGTATGACTATCAAAGACAATTACTTCAGTTTTATTTTCATTCAGAGTGAGAAAGTTTTTTGATAGCCAAACTTTAACATCACGAAGACAGCAGAACAAAGGTTGTAGTGGGTCAGAGACATCCAAGTTCAGGGGGAAGT